ATCTTTAAAATATATTTTTATAGTTATTTATAAATTTTAAAGCTTTAAAAATAGTGTAGATCAATATATTTATGAAGACTTGGAAATCTTGAAAATTAACTATAAAAAAATTCGTTACAAAATACACTATTTCCAACACTTGCAACCCATTTTTTTTCTCATTTTATGCATCTTGATGTCGATATAATCAATTTGAAGATATTTGAGCATCAAAACAACCTCTTCTAGTTGATGTAGGCTCGAATTTGATTTGTTTAAAGCCTCAGCTCTATATAAACTTTTCCCTAAAAAATTAGGGCCAAAATCCATTTTGAAAATACACTATTTAGAGGGGGCGCATTTCTACATAGAAGTCCGGCGACTCATTGATAAAGTGTCCCAAACATAGAGGCCCCAGTAAAAGGTAAGGGAAAAGTGAAAGACAACCGCAAGAAGTTTCATCTGAAAATGGGACCAAGCAGCAAGAAAATTTACCAAGAAATCTGTTGAAAATAGAAAAACTAAAATTACTTAATAACGTGGCCAAGAAACAGGAAAAATCTATTCAAGCAAACCAAAATCCAACGGTCAGGAATTTTCCAAAAGAGTCGAAGTAATCAGAGAAAGCTTTATAAGAAACAACGAGAAATACAAACTGCTCAGATAAAAAGCCAGTCGATAAATTGCATAAAAATCCAAGAGAATGAATCAATGCAAAAAAAAAATGGAAATTACAAAAGAGTATAAAAAAAATATATAAAAATATCCCATAAAAGTAGAAACTATGAACAAAAAGACCGAAAAAAAAAAGAAGGAAAAAAACTACAAAATTCGGATAAAAATGGCAAAAGAAATACCAATTATGATCATGTAAACAATGAGAACGCCAAGATTATTGGTGACCACGCAAACTTGCAGCAATGCCCTGCCAATTGGGCCGAACGTATCGCCCATCAGCCCGGCATACGACCCCACCTTGGCGGCTCTCGACGCTCTGCCGACCATGTCTATCGATTTCTCCGTCAAGAAAGCGGCCAAGACAACGGCGAACAGGCCGGGTCCGAGGCCGAGCACCTTCATAGTTGCAGGCAGGGCCATGATCCCCGCCCCAACGATTGTGGTAGAGAGGTTGAATACTGCGCCCGAAAACGAGGCTCCGCTGAAGCCTTCACCAATGGCTTCTTCTTGGGCATATTTTGAGGGGAGGAGGGGGGCCTTGTTCTGAGAAACGCTTTTAGGGTTACGTCTCGCTCGCTTGTCCTTCATTTTGTTCAAGGCTAGAGAGAGAGACTTGTCTGATTCAAATCACTATTTACAGAGAGAATGACTGATTGAAATGTGGAGAGAGAAAGGGAGAGAGGTGATTTGAGATGCAGGGGTGGATTAATGGCGCAGAGAGAGAGATTAACCAGAAAAAGGAGAGAGAGAGAAATTAACGGGGACTTAATGCTAGAGAGAGAAATGAAAACCCTAATTTAGTGACCTGCTGCATGCCTGCAGCGACCGGCGGAGGCCGTCGAGGGAGAGGGGAGACTGTTAAGGCACTTGGATTTTTTCGTGGGATCGGCAACGGGTCGGGTCCGGCTGCACTCCGATGTTATGGTACAAATTTTAGACCCATATCAGTACCGGGTCTCAGTCTCGTAGGGACCATTGCAATCCTGTGATTATGAGCTAATCATAAGAAAAACTATAAATACTCCCTCCATAATCAACATTTCACACGTCTTACCCCTCCATAGGTTATGAATTATATCCTAAAGCCGGATATTATTTTTCTTGCATTTACCACCCCAAATCATATAGTAAAAGGTGTGGTTTCTACAAGGTTGCAACCTTAAACAATCCAATTAAGGCACACTTCTTATGTAATTTTGGTATAAAAAATTCTCAGGATTATCTTAAAATCTATTTTTATATATAATTATAAAATTTAAAACTTCAAAAATGGTTAAAATCAAATAGATATATAAACATATAAAAATCTTGAAAATGGACGGTCTAGATAATGTGTTGTAAGATACGCTATTTTTAGGACTCGAAATCTTTTTTTTTCCAAATTCATACACCTTGATGTCGAGATGATAATTAGAGGCTGTTTCAATATAAAAACAACATTTTCCGATAGATTTTTGAAGTGCATCTTTAATTCTATATTTAAAGTTACAACCTTATATAAACTTTTCCCAATAGTAAATGCTTTTTAAGATAAAATTATCGTTCTCTTCTTTTTTTTTTTATCTTTTTGCTTTTAATCCCGTGACCCTTTCTATTACTTTCTCTCTCTATCTCTCTCCACCTGTCATCTCTCTTTCTCGCTACTTGTTTCTCTTTTTATCTTCCTCTCTCTATCGTCTCTCATTGTTTCTCTCTCTATATTTTTTGTGAATTTTTTTTTCGGTCCGATAAAAAGTGTGTCGGTACAATACTTTTTTTATGCCAGACTACAAAAAAAATTTCAGTCCAACAAGCAGTGTGCTGAACAACATGAGGATAAAACTTGTTGGAATTTATGTGGTCCAACATAATTGCTTGCCGGATCGAAAAAAAAAATAAAGAAAGAAATGGTGAGGGAGGGTAGGGAGAGATAGAGAGAGAATCAGGCAGAGAAGGGGAGAGAGGACAGAAGGAAAGAGGTAGAGAGGATCTTGTGACTAAAAAGGAAAAAAAATAATAATAATAATTTTATGTCAAAATGAATTGACTGTTTGACTGGGTAAAATACATGTAAAAATAGTGTTGAGGTTTAAAACATAATATAAAAAGCATTTAGGATAAGATATATAGAAAGTTGATTTTTAGGGTATTTTTAATTTTTTTTATTTTATTTATTCATCATTTTTTTACCATTATATACACTATATCTATCTTTATTTTCTTTTTTTTATAAAATTGTACAAAGATACTGCTTGCTTTTCATACAAAGAGGTCATCATTACTGTTGTCCATCAAATTTCAAATCCAATAGCTAGAAACGTTCATTGATGTGATTTAAAGTTCAAAAACAAATTCTCCATCTTTGTAAAACATTTCAATCTATTTAATTTGACATCGGAGTAATTATGATTTTCGAAAGGTAAATAATCTTAAAATATACAATCCCTTTTTTGCACCCACTCAATAAATGTTATCAACATTGCGATAATCCACATGATTGCCATTATATGCCTTATAACTACGGGTACCGGTCAGGTCGGGTCGATTGCCGTTCCCATTTCTCGGTGGTTCGGGAAAACATGAGCGCGAAGCGCGAACAGTAGTACCCCTATTTTACGTGACCAGTGTTCGTTTTCAAGAAATTGTTAACGCGCGAACGCATTCGACGGGGTTGGGATCAAGCCCATTTTCGTCATTTTGCATTGGTGTACGATTCAAAGGAGGATGAATGTTTCTTTTTTTCTTGTTTTTTTTTTGTTTAGGAAAAAAATAAGTTCTTACTCTTTTTTTGCTGGAATAAAATGAGCGACAAACACTATACACTTGCTCTCTTGAGCATTAGAACCTATTTCAGAGGATATTTTATATGAAACATTGGGATACACATTAAAGCTTCCATTTTACTACTCTCTGCCACCCAAAGCGATAATTCAGAAACTTAAACGTATAATAAGGAATTTTTTATAGAGTAAGGGGGTAGAGCATAAAAAATACCATCTTATCAAATGGGAGGAAACGTTTAATAAGGATTTTTTTTTATAGAGTAAAGGGGTAGAGCATAAGAAATACCATCTTATCATGGGAGGAAATACGTTTATCTAAGAAGATGGGTGGCCTTTTTTCTTTTTTTCCTTTTTTTGGTATAAGTAAGACGATAGGTGGCCTTGGGATTAGAAGACTACAACACTTTAATCAGACGCTATTTGAGGCACTGTTGGCTAAATGGTGTTGGAGGTTAGCCATAGGGGGGATGGCAGCTATGGAAAACTGTTTTATTCAACAAAGGGAAAGCTTTTTATGTTTTTCTACAATATAGAAGCTCTATGCTCCCCCTTATCTAAAGGTCCATTTTTTAATGGAGGGTTAAGATTGTCCCAATCACAATGTCACGTTTCTACACTGTTTTATTTATAATTTTTTTTTATAAACTGTTTTGACACCAAATTTTGAATGAGGGGTATTTTGGTCATTATTTTTTATCGAAAAATTATTATTAATATTTTTTATAGGTGCTCCCCAATGAGAAGATGGCATGTACCAAATTTTATATTCAAAAAATTATATTAAAAAAATAAAAATAAAATATTTTAAGACGTCGAATCTAAGATCAAACGGTGAGCAACTCTCTTGATAAAAAATGGACGGCTGAATGATAGAGGTTAGAACTACTATGTTGTAGGGGAAACATAGAAAGCTTTCCCTTCAACAAATATGATGCAGATATCTTTGTCTTCTTGTTAAATCTTTTGTGCTTCAAAAAGGATAAAGAGAGAGTTTGCTGCTTGTCCATGTCCGATGCGAGACGTATAAAATCCTGGTCCACCAAATGGCTTGGGAGTCGATCGTTGAAGTTTGCTTACCCTGACCTATCCAAGTGATCCACTCATAAGAGGGAATTAGCCAACGATATAGTTATTGGGGAGGGTTATAATGTGCTTTCGAATATCCAGCTATTGCATAGAAGAGTTTTTTTTGATAAACTATTGTATAGAAGAGTTAATCAGGACCTTGCTCAACAATAGGCAGAGTTGCTGATGGTGCTTTACTCTCTTTTTTTTCTTCCTCCTAACAGACCTGACCGACTAGTGTGGAAACTTAAACCATGGTTTTTTTTTTTTTTCTCTGTAAAGTCTCTGTATAGGCTATTATTTGGAAAGATTTTTCATTAATCCTTTTGGGTGTCTAAAAGTTTGGAGGTTAAAAGTTCCTCAAATGGTCAAGGCCTCTTTGGGGTTGGTTGGTATTGTGGATAAGTTAATAAAGAGGCGACGGATTTCAGTTAATGGATATATCACGTGTAAAGAAGAGGTAGAAACAAATGACCACCTGAGCTTCAGCTATCGGTCTAAGTTTTCATTCCTATCGGTCTAAGTTTTCATTCCTACCGGAGCATCTGAAAACTGCCAATTATTTTTAAAAACGGGTAGGGCATGTATTCCCCACTTATTTACCAAAAACAAAAGGAAAAAACAAAAAGAAAACAAATGACCACCTGCTTACATTGTAACCATGCTTCAATGGAGGTGGGTCATTTCCAAATTAGTGTGCTTGGGTGATGCTGGAAACCATCTCACATTTTATGCTCCAGATGACATACTAATGGAGCTTTGATATCAATTAATGTAGTTTTGATACCAATTGATGTAAATTGAGAAAATAAAATAAAAAAAAATAAAAAATAAAAATAAAAATAAAAAGTTGAGAATATATCATCTTTCAAGGTCTGCAAGGGAATTCACCCCAAGGTTGAGAGAATATACCCTCTCTCAAGTCTGATAGGGAATCCACCCCAAAAATCTCTTCACGATAAGAAATTTTATTAACTCATCCACCCCTAAATCCAACTTTATCCTATTTATACTCCTAAACTACTTCCCTAATTTAACCTTATCCTAACTATATTTCTCAAACTAACCTAATTGATACAAGATAAATTCACTATAAACTCTTACCCACTTAATTACCGTGGACGTCTGAAGAGATAAACAAAAGAATAATAAAAAATTAAAATAACTTTAATATTATTTGCATCATTCTCCCTGAGTTGGGAGAAGCTCGACCTCAAGCTCAAAAGTTGGTGATGAAGTCCCACCATGAGCCTCAGTATGTTTTCTTCAATTTCTTCAAGACCGATGCTTGGAACACATTCTTCAAGACTGATGCATGCAACTGTGTTCCAAGAGTAATTGTTGAATACGACGACTGATGCCTGCAACTGTGTTCCAAGAGTAATTGTTGAATAGGAGCTTGGGCTGATCCAAAGATGCATCATATGAAATCGACGATGAACACTTTTGACCATGAAATTTTGGGAGATCGATTTTAATATCAAAATCTCGTGGTTGCTCTATAGAAAGCGGATGTAAATTTCTTCATTACGCTTGAAATCAACATTCTTGGTTTCTTGTGGAATTACTGGTGCAAGATGAATATGACTGCAAGCACCTTCTTCACGATGAAGCTTGTTTTCCATTCATTGCAACCTCTAATCCAACCGTTATATCCCTTGGTTCATCTCACTTAATTCAGTTCGAAAATCCTCTACGGCTTTAGTCAAATTTTCTATAGCTTTTATCTAACGATTATCCATAGCGAACAAACTGGATATCTCTTCCTCTTATTTGCTCTCTGAAGATCTAACTTGCTATGGATCTGACTTGCTCTGATACCAATTAATGTAAATTGAGAAAATAAAACCATAAAAAAAATAAAAATAAAAGGTTGAGAGAGAATATACCCTCTCTCAAAGGTCTGAGAGGGAATCCACCCCAAGGTTGAGAGAATATACCATCTCTCAAAGTCTGAGATGGAATCCACCCCAAAATAATAATCTTTTCACGAGACCAAATTTTATTCAACTCATCAACTGTTCAATTGTTCAATTGTTTTTTACAATGAAGGGAAATCTCCCTTTAAATAGACTAAAAAATAAGATAAACATTAACATAAAAAACTCTCTCTACACTTTTCTTATTTTTTCTCTTCTTTCCAATTTTCTCTCTCTTAAAATCATGTGTCAAATTTTCCATATCTTCTCTCTCTTTAATTCATGTGCCAAAAATGAGGCTCGTTTCTATCCCAGGTTTTTCCCAAAATTCTCCTAACTTTGATTATTGTTGATAAGGATAAAACCTCCCTAGATTTAACTTTATCTTATTTATATTCCTAAACTAACTAACTCAATCTAGAAATATCAACTCGCACATAAACTCAATGCTCACAAATATCCTTGCGCACCTCTTCTCCTATTCCTAAAGAGATAAACTAAAGAATAATAAAAAATTAAAATAACCTTAATATTATTTGCATCACATACTTACCATTTATTTAAAAAGGGATAGTGCTTCATAGAATCAATGTAGCAACAACTTTGTGGCATATTTGGAAGAAGAGAAATCTTAGAAGTTTTGAATACAAAATGAGGGCTAAGGACCGCCTCAAGATTGTTATTTTGCGAACGATATCAGAATGGGCGAGAGCTACTGAGAGCTTCCGAAATGTCTTGGAGGCAGACTTCCTTAATAACTGTAGACATCTCCCAAGGACAAAGAGACGTAAGGTAGCTAGGTCGACACTATGGAATGCTCCACCAACGGGTTGGTATAAACTTAACTTTGATGAGAGTATGGCAAAATTTCATGAGAGTTGCCTAAGGGGCGGGGGGGGGGGGGGGTTTCTTCGAGGTGAAAATGATCAAATTAGATGGGCATTGTAGGGGCATCTTCCAACATGTCAAGCGATTGAAGTAAAATTTTTAGGCCTCAATAATTATGCTTAAAGTTGACAGAATAGTCCTCCATTTGATCATTGAAGGGAATTCTTCCAACATTATCAAATGGCATTCGGACCCATTTTATGTTCCCTAGAAGTAGGCTGCTGATTTGACGAAGATTATGACACATCTTTGGGGGAACAAGAGCTCTTTTCACAAATCAACATAGAAAGGAATTCTATAGCATATGGGCTAACCAAAAGTACTACTTCATTGTAACATTTTCTCTCTTTCCTTATTTTCTCTTATTTCTTCTCTCTTTCTTTATAAATCTGTGTGGGCCAAAAAAATTGTACGCTCCTTTCATTTCCTCAATGAAATCTCAGTTAACTGTCTACAAAAAATGGAACTTGAGCGTTTTTAAAATTCTTGACGTCTAAAGTTGGACGCTCTTAAAACACTAACGAGTTCTACATTTGTTCATTTCATTCATCAATGCAATGTATAAATCCTGTTATCCATACCGTCCTATAGGGCTCTTAATTTTGCCTCATTTCCCAAGGAAATTCCCTAGAGTATATATCACTATATCTCACTATTCTTCCAATTCCAGCTATCCCAAGTGCTTTTAAGAGCTACCGCCAACGTTGTCATTTAGCTTTCCTTCCATTGGGTGTATCCTATAAATAATCCTTTCAGCTCTCATTGTTTTTAGCTATCATTTCTCTCATATCGTGTGACTTTTCGGTATCCATTTGCATTCTTTCAACACAGTCGTCCGCTCTCCCATTGATTCCCTCTTTCCCTTTGGATATACCTCGAGGGTCCTCTGATTAAGTTCTTGAAATCTACAAGCAACTAGCATTTGCTTCCACAAAACATTTCCTAGCTTTAACGAACATCAAACAATTGGGATGAAACTCGGATAATAATGGTAATGCATCCAGTCGTTGTGTGGGACTTTTGGCGTTGACCTTGGGTTACCCATTGGATTCTAATCTTAGTGAAAACTCAATTTGATACTAAATAATCCATTGATGGGGTTCTAAAATATGGAGGTGTGCCATGAAAATATTCAATTTTTATCAAAGAGGTCGCACATTCCATCCAACTCAAGTCATTATTTCAGGCAAATTTTAATAAATTCAATAATAGAACACATCCATCACAAGTCCACTAAGTTTCATATTTTGTGTCCTCAGATTAAATGTTCCATTCAAAGCAAAAAACATCAAATACCATCTTGTTTTCCCAACTTTCAATAACAATGTACCTGCCAATAGCATTACATATCAGATCAATGCTAGCTTTTCAGATCCAGGAAGCATTCGATAAAAACAGCATTTTAAATGCTCCAAAATTTGAAGTTCGGCTTTCCATATTTCTATAGTTCATATTATCATGATATGTATTTTCTTGAGTTTGACATTCGATCAAACTTGTACTGTTCACAACAGAATCAACTTTGCTCTCTCTCTCTCTCTCTCTCTCTCTCTCTCTCACACACACACACACTACACGCGCACACACACGCACACAAACAGGAACAGCATGGAGTGCAACTCATCCACATGAATCAGGACAAAACTGCAGGGAATGATCCCCATGATGTTGTTGAAGCCATAAAATCAAATAAATAAGAATATGGCACTACTACGACTTTTGTTGAACTAGGTTTCAATCAGCTTTCCTTGACATCTTCTGTCTTTGCTGGTCAGCTCCTTTTCTTTCCCTCTTCTCCCCCTTTCCTGCCAAACCCTGCTTGCGAATCTGCACCATGAAGAAAAAGAACATTACAGCAAATCAGATCAATCGAGTTTCTCCTCCCAACTTTTTCTTCTTTGTCAGTTTCACTAGTTGTTGACAAACGTAATTTAAGAAAAAAAATATTCCATTACAAAAAAATTTAGTAAAACAGCCAAAATGCCACAGAACTTCAGTCATAAATTTGAAATAAGAAAAAGCAACATATGCAAATTTAATAAAAAGAAAGAAGGAAGACGGTATTTATATCCAAAATGCCACAAGCCTCTTGTCTCCCTAGGTAAAAAAAAAAGCAAGAAGATGGTATTGTATCCAAAATGCCACAAGCCTCTCTTTGTCTCTCTAGAAAAAAAAAAGCACGATGGTATTATGTCCAAAATGCCACAAGCCTCTCTCTCTCACACGCACACACTCAATAACGCAAAAACCAGCACTTCGTACCTGCGCAGAGAAGGTTTTGAGAGGATCTCTACTTTTTCCCCTGATTATTTTCTTACCCCGCCTCTTGTGGCCTAAGTCACTCTGGCCCATTGCTGCCCTTGAGAGCTTAACAATCTTGCTAGCTTCATGTGTTGTAGGGTCCACTAGATAGTCGGGCACAGAGCGCAGATGCGATGAGATAGGCTTCTTGGTAAGCACCTTGTCATGCTTCAGTAGTTCTGTGTAGAGAAAGCACACTTCCACATATAGAAATCTAGGAAGTAATATATAATTAGGAAAAAGTTTATATAAGGTTGCAGCCTTAAAATGTAGAATTAAGGTGCACCTCAAAAATCCATCATATAAGGTGGTTTTGATGTTAGAAAACTCTCTAATTGATCATCTCGATTTCGAGATGTATGAATATGAAAAAAAAAAAAATTCAAATCCGTGAAATAGTATATCTTCCAACTCATTATCTAGACCGTCCATTTTCAAGATTTCATGTGCTTATAGATCTACTTGACTTGAATCATTTTTAAAGTTTAAAATTTTATAATTTGAGATGAAAATAGATTATCAAGCCATCCAAAGAATTTCTTATACCAAAATTACAATCATGATAAAATTTAGAGGTGCTCCTTAATTGGATTGTAAGGTTGCAACCTCATACAAACCTCACCCAAATATTTATAATGCAGATAATAACACAGACATTCTCTCATTTCCACCATTCTTTATGTCCTGGAGAACAGAGAAAAATGATAAGTATTTATTACCCAAGTCCCGAGGATTGTCTTCGAAATGAGCCTTCAACCTGCATAAAAATAACATCTCAGACTTTGTAAAAGCCAAACCATGTACGGAAAAATACCACCAATCTATTTTCTTTATAAGGAAATGCAAAAATAATAACGATCAGATTCCTTTCATCTGATCATTATTATTAGACATGAAACTGAATGAAAGTGTGTACAATGCATTTATTAGACATGAAACTGAATGAAAGTGTCATCTGCAACTATGACTCTTGGTTCTCTTCCAAAAAGCATGGTTTCAGAAGAACCTCATGATAATCACCTAGGATAGCATTGCATAACACCACAGTTCCACAAATCACCATTTAAAACAAAGGGGGTTGCCCTCGTGATCTATGGGGCACTCACTTCTCAGAGTTAATAATTTCGCTCCTCAGATCTTGAGCTCGTGATTCCCTGATAGCAATTTTTGTTACAGATTTGGCAACATCCTGTGGAGTACCACAATTCATTAGAGGTATCATGTAAGCCCGAGTTTAAGAACAAAGTCTCCACATAATTAAGCTTAAAAATGACGGAGCTCATGTCTACAAATTGGGTACAAATGATAAAAGCCGATGAAGAACTATGAAACACAAAACAATTCGAAAATCAATGAACCACAAAAAAGAAAAGAGAATAGAATATAACACCAACAATGGAGTATTAGATAAAAAGAAATGATGAAAAAAACTCAAGTTCAATTTTATATATATATATATATCAAAAAAAAATATTCTTAGGGAAGTATACAAAACGCAATGGCCTATTGAAAACCATAGTACAATACGGTCACCACCCTCCAATCAAATGATGAACGGTCATAGAGATAAGTAGGAATCCTTCAATAACACTGAACAATTGTGATCTCAATGGACTATGATTCTTCAAGCCCATTTGATAATAGTGGACTTTCCCTAATTAATAGCCTTAAGAAAGAACTGAAAATATCAGTCTCTCAAACAATTTGAGCATTTCACAGAACCAGGGGGTAATCAAAGTGTTCAATTGATTTAAAAAATTCCCTTGCATCCTTACTTACATTAATAAGAACCAGCATTATTACAACTGGACCAGACAGGACAATCCTACTGGAACCGACTGGAACAGGGCCTTTAACCAGATTGGTGCAGTGTCCAAGAACTGGACGGAACTGACCATGTACCCAACTAACCAGGTAAACCACCAGAATAGGACCTGGCTTTTTTGGTTACGGATTGGACCCCCTCTATAGAGGTCTAATTTTTTTGGCCTGTTTTAGTTTGAGCATTATACGTTGATATCTAAAACACCCACCATCAGAAGGGAGCTGACCCTCCCTCCCTCGCCATGGAAAATGAAGCTCTCTCACTCCATCAGGAAGATCTCTCTCTATGTGAAAATAATCTCTCTAACCTTTTAGAAATCATCCGTATGTATATAAATCACTATTTTATCGTTTCATCTTTCAAAATTTTCTCCAATTTCTGTATAGAAAATAAAAAACAGTCCAACTGGGCAACCACTAATCCTACCTTAGAAAACCAGACAAGACACTTTTTATTTGATGCCTGCTCCAGTTCCGGTAACACTGATAGGCACTTACTAGAAAGACAGCAAACTGTAGTTTTAATTTGCAACAAAAGCATTACAGAATTCTAGTAGTCAGTTACAGCAAGCAGAAAAGGACGTAGCAAAATCTCATAAAAGAACAATAACAAATTCATCAAAATATAAAGTTACATGTAAACTTCCTATCCATCTAGAAAAAGCAGGACCTCTGCTAAAGTTAGAAATAGACAAACAAAGCAGTGCGTACCTCAGCCCTGTAGCGTAGTGACTCTACAGCATTCTCTGTAAGTAAGGGGAACGGTGCAATAAACTTTGAAGCCGCCTGGTATGAATTGTCACCCATCATTGACTTGATTTCTTCAAAAACCTCCTCTTCATTTTCAGAAACCTAATGACAGTAGAATGCATGCCAATAGACTTAGTTAATGGAGCTTCAAAGAACACTGAAATTTTCATAATGCTGAAAGAATAACGAAGGGCGATACTATACATCTAATAGCTCAAGCTTCATTCTTTTATTTTACAACTTGGAAATTCGAATTTGGTCCTTCATTATGATAGTTCTACCTTCATTATTTTCTTCACAACTTGGAAATTCCAATTTGGTCCTTCATTATGTTGAAAGTGTACGTATTCTTACGTTTTATTAAGTTTTATTTAAAATCCAAAATACTATAACATGTCAGTTGCTTTTAAGTTTTTAATGAATGGTACCAAATTATATGTTGCTTTTTTTTTTAATGTTTAACTATATATGTTGCTTTTAGGTTTAGATATCATGAATTCTGCTTTTAT